TACACATTCACTGTCACAGGATTTTGGTGGCTGCTGCACTCTTCTTGCGGGGGTGACGCTAGTGTGTAACACCTCTGTGCATGTAAGGTGCACAATTTTTAGGTAGGAAAAAATGTAACTGTCCAGATCGAGATTTGTGATTGTCACAAGCTCCAACACTCTGTGCAGCAGGATGGGGTTAAATAACATTTTGAGTGGACAGCATTAGCACACTTACACTATAGGCAGCCTCTGAGGATAAATCTATAGAACTTGCTGTAACAATGCATCCTCTTTCTCCAAATGCTTCATAATTTACAGAAAACTAAACCACTGTGCAAGAAATTATGCAGTAGGAATCCGAAATGGCACTTACTGGCAGCCCACTGAATGATTAGCATCTCCAGTTTCTGCTCCTGCTTATTAATTCTTGATCTAAAACAACTGACTCTGGAGGCAGCTGGCTACTGCCCAACTGCTGGACGTGGAAGTTTTTCCTGGCTCCTTTCTGTTCAGCACCTGTCCGCCTGCAGAGCTGCTTAGTTTAGACCATATACAGTGTCAGCTCCTACTTAAACCCAAGTGAGCTTTTGTCCTGGGTTAAGCTGAGACAGAGTTAACTTTCTTCATAATAGCTAGCAAGATGCTGTGGAGGAGGTGATCTCCTATATACTGGGCATGATGTGTATGTTATGTAATAGACTATTGGCCAATTTGGGTCTCAGTCCTAAAATTGAATCTAAGATCAAATCCCAGACTAGTCATTGGGCTGTGCTCCCTCCCAACTTCTCCTGCACCTACAGAGAGCAGAGAAGCTGAAAGACCTTGGGCTGTCCCAGCAACAACTATAAACATCACAGTTATCAGCCACCTTCTCAGCACAAATTCAAAACACAGCCTCTTGCTAGCTATTATGAAGAAATTAACTCTGTCTCAGCTTAACCCAGGACCTTCTTGAGGAATCAGTTGCAGATCTAGATCCCAAACCAGCACACAAGCCCTTCGCACCCAGCTGCAGGATGCACTTCACACATATTCAAGGAGGGGGGGGTAGTATAACTGCAAAATCAGAGACCAGAACTAGGACTTCCCCAGCCAGCATAGCAGTCATCTGCAAGCCCAGGGAGTAATGCCTACTGCCCTCCAGAAAGCAGAGAGTAGCACCATCCAGTTTACACTACAGGCTAGTTACTACAGCCTTTCCCTGAAAGGTCTGCATTTCCCAAACATGTTTGAACCCTCAATCTCAAGAAGGCCTACATGAACCAAATTGTTCCACTTTCTTCTGCAGTATTTAGTTAATAAATTATTATATAAAAAGTAGGCAGCATTCAAACTTTAAAAATAAATCAGAGATAAATCCTTTCCAGCTGTTTGAAAAAACAGCAAAAGGTCTCTGTCCTTAGGAGATTACCTCCTACTTTGGAAGCCAAGGGCATGCACACAGGCTGGAGACTGGCCACATACTTCAGACTTAGCACCAGTGATTGCATTTCCCACTGAAAACATGTGTGGTCCATGATCAGTCCCCTGGCTGTCTTGGATTCTGTGCTAAAGCACCCCTCCACATGCACTGCCAGGGAGCCGAAACTCAGCACTGAGGGTTCCAGGATCAAGCACCTAAAATTTAGGGGTCACAATATACATCTCAAGCCATCCAAATCCTTTCTGGGATCTAATTTCCATCTGTCATAGCAGTTGATAGCCACAGGTATTAAATACTGGAACGATAAAATATAAATTATTTTTTACTTGTTTTAAAAGAAGACTTGCATGTCATCTCATAAGAAATCATTTGCAAATCATGTCCAAGATAAAGTTTAAATTCTTTTAGCATTAGCAATGCACCATAGATATCACTATTCCCAGAAAATTAGTCAGGTAACAAAACTTACTCTCTTGGAATCGTACAACATGGAGGCAAATAAAACCTGCCCCAAAGCTTTGAGTATTTGAAAATCTCACAGACCAGATCAAGCGCAAAGCAAAAATTGCAAGCTCCTTTTCTGTTAGTGGTGAACATAATAGAAAACAGTACTTTTAAAGGTAACATTAATTTAAACCCCCGTAACTCTTCATTTACAGGTCCGTTGCATGCACCAGTTCCTTAATAAACTCATACGGTACAAATGCAACTTCCATACAGATAGCTAGGTCCTTCGATTTCCACACATGCGTGACCCTAACAATCTGCCTAACCATGGAAAACAACATCCTGGTTAATTCCACATGTACTGTAACCACGGCCAGCCCCACTCTCAGCAGCTCAGAGAACAGCACGTATCTTTTTGCATAGTTCCAAGGTAACTGGGGCTATTAATGGAGGAACTTTGACCTTAAACAAACAAAAATAATAATGAAAAAAAACCAACAGAAAATCTTTCTAGGCATGTATTTCAATAGATAATGGAAATGGAAGAAAACAGAGCACATAATCATGATAGGTAACAGTTAGGCTTCAATCAAAAAATATTTATTTTAAAACTTATTTGAGGAGTAAGATTTTGGCTACTGAATTATTAGATTTTTCCCCCCTAAACAGCCTAGGCTATCAATATCAAAACATATCCATAGATACATTGAATAACAAGTACATTAGGCTACTTTGGTGAACAAATACGTAAGATGATTTGATCATTACGCTACAAGACAGTTCAGATAATCCCCCAATTAATAGGTTTCTGACATTTAGAATAACAGTCAAGTGAGTAGAACATGAAATGAATTATCTTAGTAAAAGACAGTATATCCAGAAATCTATCATCTTCAAATGAAACGCCATACCTTGACAGATTAACATACATTCCTTTCTTTAAAGTAATACAGCTTGTAAACACATGTAACAATGTTTATCTATTAACTATATTAATAAGCTTTAGATTCTATAAACAGTGCTTATTGAAGATTCACTCTTTTAATAAAATGCAGCTACAGGCTCAGCAACTTACACCATTTAAGGTAAAGTAATGTTATCCCCTCAGTGTTCAAAGTACTCGGTACTCGTCATACACATTTTACTTTTCCAAATGAGTATGTTTATATTCATGCATCTTCTAGATGGAGATCATCTATCCATTCATTTCTTATAGGATAGACATGAACAAGTTGTTGAAAAAAAATGCCTTTTTTTCTTTTTAATCAGAGATCCACACTGCTCCCCCCACCCCCCAAATCATGAATCCCAAATAACTTACGGTAAAAATACAAATTCTGTTTTGGAAGAAAACATACAAAATATACACCGTGTAGTGTGTGCACCTAAATATCTTGATGGTCAAGTAGTGCAAGTTTCCCCTTTGACATATACACTTTTTTGGTTTTAGAGACAAGAGTTTGTTTCACTGATCTTTGTTGATCCCATTTCTTGCCATCTTTGGTAGTCTTTGTCCCTTCGTGTAAGCGTGGTACCAGAAGTGGAGAAACAGGACTAAAAACATAGAGCCATATAACCAAATAATAAACATGAAAATCGGATACTGGTACGGACAATCATCCATGATGTAGATTTGTCCTATATGGCCTGTAATCATCATAAACTGGACCTGGAGGACAAAGGTAAAGAAAATAAATTCTTTTTAAATGACAAATGTATTACAGAAGTTTAAAAAGATTCAGCATAACTCGCATACAGAAAAAACAGAGAGTGGGGTGTGGGGATGTGGTGGGTGGGTGTATTTTTAAAGCAGCAGAGATGCATCTTTAGAGGCCCTCTCCCAAAATGTTATTACACTGAAACACACTTCAAAAGAGTAAAGAAACAGAAGTCTTGGGACAAACTGAATTACAAGCAGCACTGAGAAACCCATGCTAGGAGAATGAGAGTCTACCCAGGTCACTTCAGAGAAGAAAGAAGGAGGCAGACAAGGTTTGACCAGTGACAAATGGGAGGCTCCTTTAGAAAAGTTAGCCAGAAGAAACAAAAAAGGCAACAAGTACAGGACTGTTTGAACATGAATTACCACCTTCCCCACACACTAGCATGTCATACAAAGGTCCACAGGTCCAAAAAACAATTTAATGGAAGATTAAAAAAAAAAATCAATATGACGTCTAAGTTAATAATCCACTTGTAGTGCCTCCAAGACAAACAGACTTTAAATAATAATAAATATTCAAGCTAAATTGTTCAGAGTTGCACATGGTTACATGAACTATTCTATTAACACCAGATCTGGTGTAAGCAGACAGACAAGGCTGCTTCTCCCTGCTCCTTTCCCTCCTCCATCAGCATTCTTTCTCAGGCCAAACTAATTGTTTAGCCAGAAGGGGAATTTTGAAAATTTGGCTATTAAAAAAGTCAAGTGTGAAAAAGCATCTAGAGCAGTAACCTTTTGAAAGAGATCAAATGCTGATAAAACACTTAATGTAATTACTACAAGAGTGTTTTTTAATGCTCTAAGTTAGAGAGAGGTAAATTCTCTAAACACAAACATTTTCTATGAAAGAACAGACATGAAACTCTAAATACTTATTTTTCCCTTTCCTCACTACTACTCACATGTGTATTCTGTGTAATAGTTGTGTTTTCTTGGTGTAAACTTATATTTTAATCATTTTTATACAGGCAATGAGTTTTGTAAATATATTTACCAAGTACTGCATAACTGAAAAGCTCATGTGTCTACATCTATGATTATCATGAACGCTGAAGTCCACATATTTAAGTATGTAACTAAGGGAAGCTCACAATTTTTGTTTTACTCAGTTAAAACAGTACACCTTGTACCAACTGTAAGCTATACACATAGCTTACAGTTAACATAACTAAAACTACAAATGTATTGTATTAAGCCTGAGTTAGCCATAATCAGCTTTCTGAGAGGTGTTTACATCAAACAGAAAATTACTCACAAGTTGTATAGTGGTCATGTATTTTTTCCACCACAAATATTTATGATAAGCTGGTCCCAAAGAACAGATTCCATAATAAGTGTACATGATAACATGGACAATGCAGTTCAGCAAAGCATGAAATGTTCCTAAACCACCTGTAGTGAAACAAAACAGAGTAGTATTATTGCATCAGGTATTTAAAAAGCCACCTCAGGTACTAGTAGTTTTTTTGAGTCAGGATATAAAAAAGTATCACAAAACCTATAGACTTCGATTAACCCTCAAAGTATTTACCCTGAATTGGGTTGACACCAATTCTGAGGTATCTCATCAGTTTCCTTTCTCTGAAAAGGCTTATCTAAGCATTTCCAAAACAGCAGTAAAATCTAGCTGATTTAATTACCTGTAAAGGATTTCGAATAATATTTTGTTCTTTGGGTAATATGTTTTAATAAAAAAAAGTGATAGACACTGAGAATTTAGTCAAAATAGTATTCTTCTTGTTTTACACCTCTTTTCTAGACACTATGATGAACTTCACAAAGCTCTGGAGGGTACCTAATAATTCTCTCCCCATCACAAATTTCCAGATTCCCAGAGAAAGAATCACGGTTTCAGACAGTAAGAATTTGGAATCATGACCTAAGTGAGGGTCTCAAAAATCCATGGTCTATCTCAAAAGCATACTTACAGAGAAAAGGAATCTTAAGGCCAAGTAGCCCCATTTAGGGCAAACTCACAACTGAAACTGCTAAGATAAACATTTCTCAAAGCAATTAAGGAAATTCTCTTCCATTGGATCAGTAATTTTATTTTAATGAACACAAGAACTTATAGGTTAAAATGATCCAAGAAGTGGTAGACAACAAAGTAGTTTAAAGAGAAATACAAACAAATAAATAATGAGCATCAGGAAGAAAACATGACAACATAGAAAGCAGACATTTGGTGAGAAAAAAGCCACCTTTCCATTAAGAATCATTCCGGCTAAAAATAAATTTTGTGGTTTCAGTAGCTCACACTAATCTTCCAGCTTGATAGACCATAACTCCTCCAACTGGGATTGCAAACTTTCTTTGAAACTTAGCTATTCATATTTTTACAAATAATTTGAGTGTTCTTACATTTCAAACGTGCATACTTTTTTTGGCTTGAATAGTGAATATTCAAAAGAAAAAATGAATAAAGCTGAGAAAAAAGAAAAAAAACAATCTAATCAACAGCACAAAAATATGCTCCAAAAAGCAATACCATACATAATCACCACTTTACAATTCCCTGTTCATATCTGATCAGAGAAAAATCAACATCTCCATTCAAACCTGTTAAAGTTTTTTACAAGCAGGATGAAAACTTGATCAATGCCACTATTTAGAAGGACAAAGAGTGATGAAACCGAATACACGATAATTATCAGCAGGACTGAAATTCTTGGAAAAGAATTTAAGTTATCAAACACAGCAGTATTTGGGAAGATTAGTACAAAGATAAGCAAAAGAGTTGTAGGAATAAACACAGCTCTGCGTGAATATGAGTGACTATTATTAGCAGCGGACAGAACAGTTCTTGCACACTTTGCTGAAAGTATTTGTCAAATTATCACACGGGAAGTTTGAACCTGCTGCAAAATCAGAAGCCTGTATCTAGTATACTGATCCAATGTCCAGATAAAAGGCAGAAAGTTAATCACCTATAAATGGAAACTTTTCAAGGTTGAAGAGGACAGACTGTTAGTTGCTGGTTTGTTTGGGGGTTTTTGTTTGGTTTGTTTTGTGTTTTTTTTTTTTTTTCAAATCTTTAACACACTGAACTGTATGCTGAAAAAACTATTCACAATTACTCAACATTTGAGAAATACATGATCAAGACACCAGCTTCCTAATAACAGACACTCAAAACAAATACAGCATAAGTATATTATACACGAGGAATATCTGCACACTGGACATGTTCAAAAGATCACATCTACAAATCTTCTGGACTGCTTACAGGTCTTATTTTTGTATTCATAAAACAAGCACTAGCAGATCAGATTTAATGAGCAATGGTTCTCTTCATCAGTTCATCACCGATCTTCTGAGAGGAAAAAATCGTGCTAGAGAAGAGAAAATGAGTGAAGAAACACGTGCAAAACCCCACTATTTCTGAGGTGGAAACTCCTACGAAAAACCCCCACACCCTCCTGGAGATGGACTACTAAATGGCTGTGCATTTCTCTACTCTCTGCTTATCACGCTATTCTCATGGCAAGCTATATTTATTAGTGGTGCACACTAACAATACAGCATAGGAAGGTGCATGCATACACACACAGAGCAGGAAAGGAGAAAGTGAAGGTAAGCTAGAAGCATACAAAGATTTTCAATTCAGTACAATTCAAATGAGTTTCTGTAATGAGTACGGTCCAGAAAATATTTCTGTAGTTCTGTGACACCCAAAGTATTACATGTAAATAAACCCCCTAAAGCCAGTAAAAATAACTGCAAAGCAGCCTGCGTAGTTTCTTAAACAGGCAAAAAAACCGAGGACACAGTCCTCCCTTCCAACTCAGGTCTTACATTTCAGAGGGACAAATGTCTTTACAGTAGTTTCAATAGTTACCTGTCCCATACATCTCCCCTAGCACTTGTGATTTTGCGCTCCTATATCTTTTTAATGTAATAATACACTTTGCATATAAACAGCTCTCTGCTCTGCACCAACACTGCACAAAATGCTGTCAAATAGGAAAAAATGAGTACTCCCCACCCATTTCAACAATTATGGTGATCTCAGATGTTCCATGAAACACTGCTGACATCTAAATTTAAAAACATTGACGTGTGCAAGATTTTAATTCTGTTCTTTAAATATTTTTGCCTAGCATTGTTAACTTTTACTACCAGAGGATATGTACAACTTAAAACTCTCTCTCTTTCTCCACTACCTGGAGCAAATTTGACTCCAAACCACCAGGTCCATGGCATGATGGAATGATGAAAGACATGCAGGAATGTAACTTGGTTGTTTTTCTTACGCAGCACAAAAAATATCTGAAACAGATTTTTAATGAACAGAATGTTACAGGAGATAGTCAAGCCCAACATACTTATAGAAAACTCTATGCATCAGTGCTGGTTGCTCACTACTATACATTTAAAAATTCTTCAGTTGCAGTCTTGGGAGAAGAAGGGAAACAGACTCTGCATATGCAGACTAATTTAAAAAACAAAAATCTCAAACGCCAGGGCAAGATTTGAAAGTAAATGTTCCAGGTTGAGCCATCACCTATGTGTGCAAAGCACAGTGTAATATGGACTTTCTTGGACTGAGAAGCATCTAGAAGCATCAGATTTTAAGTCCCCTGAACTACTAAGACAAGGCCACTTGAGAAAATTAACCAAAGGACTAGCAACAGATAGAGACAGTAGATAATATTAAGTTAGAGAAACAGCATTTTATTATGAACACTGACTTAGCTGCCCTTGGAAAAAGGCAAAATTGGACAGAATATATGTAGGTATTCTTAATCAATATTGACGGGCCATATTTTAAAGGACAGACATCGAAGCAAGCATTAAGGAAAGACAGAGCAAGAAAACTGTAAGGAGAAGTCAGGTCATGCAAAGGGTAGTATCAGATGGCAAGCAAGGGAACACAAAAGAAAATTAAGTCTGGTGTGCCAGGGAAAACATTTGGAAACAGCTGACTTAAATACAGCTAAAAAATAATTTTTTACAATAAGACCAAAAAGCTGCTGAGAAACAGGTACCTGATTGGGTGGATTCAAACAAAACAAATTTAAAAAAAAGTAATTTTTCAGGCCCAGGATTAAAAAGGGGCAGTCTAACCAGTGGGCAGTAAAGGTAAAGAGAGAAGTAAACTCGTCAGGCTTTTCCAGTTTTAGCATTCCTGGACCTTCCATTACAATTCCATTTGGCTCACTCAGTAAGATCTTCCAGTGCTGAATCACGAGTATTTGCAGATGAAAGATGGCTAACTTTGCTGGCAAGGTGTAGAACATCATCCTAACTGCTCATGAGTCAGCCCCTGAATCACCGCTGTCGTGCCCCACACAACAGGGCAAATGAAATCATACCGGATTCCAGCATTCAGAACCTGGTTTGAGAATAGCTAAACCAACACTGCATCGGTTTTGGGAAGAGGGGAAGGCAGATGGCTGCTGGTGGTGAGTGAGGTCTGCGCTCTGCTTCAATGCATTGCTGCTCAGACTTTGAGACAGTTTAGAGAGCCAGCTTGATATCAAGCACATCTATACTCATGGCCACCAAGGCATACACAGGAATTTAGAGAAGGTAGCTATGGTAATTTATGCTGTATTCAGAGATGCTGATGCAAACATGCCAAATGTGGAAGATAAAATCTGAAGATGACGTGGAAAAAAAATTCAGCATGACCAATGCTGGCTTTTATCTGCAGTTTTTTATCTGAGACAAGCATTGCCTTAGCACAACAGGTTAGTGTACTCAGCTGTTGAAGAGACACGTTATCAGCACTTCCTAAATTTTTAAAGGTGTGTTCCCTCATCAAAATGTTTCCTGATAATCAAGGAATGACAGTGTAATGGGACAACAGGATGAGAAGAGATAATAAGGGTAAACACCTTGATGGTATTGCAATAATTGAAAATTGAAGGGCTAAATAAAAAGCAATTTATGCCCCCAGCTCCCAATGGCACCAGTTCTGCTGTGGAAAGGAAACACCCCACTCCTTCTTTTATTAGGCTACAAATACTTACAGTGTCTAATAACTCAATGAACTTGGAAAAGTAGTAAAGCCAACAAGTTCGCACCATCTGCAAGAGCAAAAACCAGATATTGTCAAATTATAATAGTCATAAATAGAGCAAAGCAGCTGCAGGAAAAATAAGTAACTATATAAAGAAAAGTATTGGGACAAATAAGTGGTGTCACAAGGAGCTGACAATATTTAAATGTATGGTTTGTTTTTTTCTTTAAAAGCACAAAACATTTTTTTAATCCTGAAGAAATTTTAAAACCAAGAGCAAGCTAACAAATATGTTGCTTCTTTCTTTCTCCCAAACAATCAACCCCTCCAGTTAACTCACATGCTCTACATTATGCAAGAGGGCATTACCATTTAGTGCATTCCACTCTACAGCAGTGCATTTAGTCTTTCAAAAAGCATTTCTAAAAATAAAGTCAGTGTAGCCTAACAGTTTGGCTTTGTGATTGGCAACTTACTCTTAGAGCTGTAGGCGACCTCGAGTAGTCAACAATATCGCACCGGAACGAATACCCTGTGGCCCAGCCCGACATAAGAAACTGGAGAAAAGAAAAGGAAAAGGGCAAAGATTTACTTAATGTCTTTTGAAAAATTAATTAATTTTGGATTACGTTCACAACCACTAAGCAGGAAGGGAAAACAATATTAAAAACTTGTTGAATCAGCAACCTTGTCATTCACCTGCCTCTGTGTGGGCTAGCTATCATAAAATCCTTTGCTGTTGCAGATTAGTGAATTTCTAATTCCAGGACCACACCTATGGACAAGAACTTTCTTCCTGCACCTATTATCTCAGCATTAGTAATGGAACAGGAGAAACAGCTGCATCTCAAAACCAATGTTAAAACTCAACTTATTGTGTAAAACAGACTGCAAAAACAAATCAAATATCTTGAATTTTTTTTTAGAACTGCTATCACAGCCAACTACCTTAATACTGAAAAGAAACTAGCACAGCATCTTAATATTGAAAGAAAACCACCACAGCAGAAAATATGGCTTACTGTCATTAAAGACAAGAAACAAATCAATATGCACTATATTTTTAGTATCATAGTTTCTAAAATTTTGTTTAAACTGCATGATTTGATTAGTCTTTCAGTGATATGAGTGATGAGAAGCTAGGGTTTCACAATCGAGAGCACACACATGACCAAAAGACTGCATGTAACAAGTATAATTTCATCTTTTCTCTTGGAATATATTAAAATTCGGACAAGAGCAACATCATTAACACTTGGCTCACTCCCCTGCCTGCCACTAGGACTACTGTATCTTATATCTGTTTATAAAGTGCTTCTCATCCATGGATCATTATCATCCCGATATGCACGATAGGTGGTTGAGCTCACTTAACAGATGGAGGGTTTTAGTCTGTGTAACTTCCTAAAAGAATGGGTTGCTTAAATAAAACAAGAATTTAAACACCACAAAGACAGCACAATACTGAAGCACCCACCAAATGGCTTAGATCCAAAGAGGGAAAGAATCATCTTTTTGCTGAGCACCAGACAATAGCAGGAATTCAAGCTGTTACACTCTACCCATGCATTCTGACATGGAAGTCTTGACAGCAGATTAACTCAGACACTAACAGAAGTTGAATATTTTTTTAATATTCTGAGGGCTGTAACCAAAACAAACTTGTCACCAAATCACAAAGGGAAGCTTGGTGATTTTTTCAAAACAAAGTCTAAATAGCAAATGAGTGTGTCTTGCCCACTGCTTTCCACACAACAGTCATGACACAAAGTAGCTGCAGCCTTTAGAATGGTGTTAAAAGTAATGTCAACCAGTTCACTGTAACTCATGATAAAATTTATGCAATCCAGCTAACAGAAAGGTATCCTGTCCTTCTGGCACAACAATTTGACAACTTTCCATTACCAGTTTGCCAAACCCAAAATAGACAGATGTAACACAAAGAGGGTCACTGTAAAAACCAACCAAGAAAAAAAAACCTACCAAAACAGACAACCGAAAAACCCCAAACCAAACAACCCAACAGACATTAGCTACCTTAAGGTTTAAGGTTCTAACTTAAAGCTTCTACATAGCCTGTTCATGGTTAAGGATTTTTAGGTCATTAAACCCATAATCCATAAGCTCATCAGGCTTTCCAGTCCTAAAGTTTAATATTTGCTTGAGCTATGAACTACAGCAAAATCTCATCACTCCTTTTGAGAGAAAGAGCACTTGCTATTTTGGGGGTGGGGGAAGAAAATAAATGCTAAAGACTTTTCATGATTTGGGTTTTGAGGTTTTGGTTTGTTTTGTTTTTTTTTTTTAAATTAGATTTTGTTAATTACTGTCATTTAAAAGGCAGATCTAACTGAAGACATGTAAACATGCTCTATACAGCATTTGAAACATCAGTGTTGACTATCACATAGTAGGACAGAAACAATTACAACAGACTAAGAAAAAACATGTAGCCTGCTTTTCCTACTACAACCCAGGGAAATTAAATAAGTTATGAGAATTTTTAATTTTGTAAATGATATATAATGACACACAAAATATTTTACAGTCTTTCTAGGTATGACTTATTCCCTTCTTTCAAGTATCAGTTCAATTAGTTTAGCGTAATGCTTGGAGGAATATAATTACAACAATCACAACAATCAGAGTAATAGTTTTTTGAGAATTGCAGAGGGAAAATTATATTAACAAATCTATAAAAAGTTAGTATGGGAATAGAGACATGAAATATATAAATATATTACAAATAAAAGTAGTACTTACTTCATAAGTCATATACAAAGAGAGGGCTACCACACTAAAATTATAAAACACCATTATCTGCCTGAGTTCAAAAGGTTTTTTATTTTCCATGAGTCTGGGTCCCAAGGAAGTGACAAAGTAAATGTAGGTTCCAATGATAAAGGTTGTCGGAAAAGGTGAAGACATGAGTGGCCAGCCTTCCAGTCTTGGATCTAGAGAAGGGGAGGGGGGAAAAGAAGAAAAGAAAAAAAAAAAGAGAAATCAGGTCTTTCTTACTAAATCCTAGAACAGCTACAGTAAGGTACTTAATTCTTAACAGTTTAGGTTTTGCTGTCACTGACCATGTTTCAGAGTCCATTCACCTCAAATCTATACCAACTGGATAACAAGGTTTAGCAACTGTAGGATTCAGCGCTTCTTTCTTTACCAATTCTTCACACATAAAGAAGAGCAGACATAAAATCATGAGCCTCACTTTTCAAAATCCTTGAGCTTTATAAGCAGTATGATGTTAAACATAGTAAGTATGGGGATTTTAGTTAGAAGACTTCCTGTCCTGTCAGTGGGTGTTCATAGGTTAGTACTTGAGGCTTGTGCCTATTCAGTCTGGACACGTCATCACTTTCACAGCACCATAAAACACATAGTACAAGCCTCCAAACAGCAGAAGTATTGCAAGTTTCTCTCCAGTTATCCCAGATGGAAGTATTGCAGAGTCCTTCTCCTGCACATGCTCCGCTTCACCATGATTCCTCTGCACCCCTCTGTGGTTCACCACTGAGTCCCAGCTCACCAAAGAGTTCCACATTTCTCCATAAGCAGGAGAACTAATATAAACTTCATGTGTTTTTTTTATTTTTTGCAAACTGACTTTTGGAAGATCTATTTCTAAATGACCCCAAACTTAACTACTGACTCAGTAAACCGATGCTTTCATGGTTTGCTGATGTATTTCGAGGGTGAAATTATATCACTGCAATTTCTCTTAAGTGTTCAATTCATGGCCAAATGTCTTAAGTCAGTGATTTTCAACCCACAACATTCAAGCAACCTATGACCCATGAGACCCTCTGATGTTGTTTACAGCCACTGGAAATTTTAAAACAGACTGAGGAGGAAAGTACATTATAACGCTGCTCACAGCCTGTAATGTGCCCAGTGCTGCTGCTTGCAGACCAGCAAGAATTGTGAACCACAGCACTAGGCAACTGTTTGTGTTGCACTGCAAGAGGATCACCAGGATCTTCACAACTGACTGTTTTTTCTGCATCCACCCTTCGCACTGGTACTACCAAAACTTTTCCATTGGTCTTCCCAGCTTGATTCTGAGGAAACTATGTCCAGCCACTAACAGTATGCTACAAGATGCCAAATACAAGCACTGGTAGGCAGAGAGACGAGGAACTCTGAAGTCATGGACACTGCAGCAGAAATGCTCCATCACCCGGCTCCATTCCAATCCACATCATCCCATGAGTCACACTGATAAAACTCCCTTCTCATTGGCATGCTGTGGTTCTACAGAACAAGAGAAATGGTTCTCAGCCTTATTGGAATTGATCAAACCATAACTGCTTCTTAAATTTGCCCCAGGAATCAGCTAATCCCTGTCACTATGTGCCTACCACAGTGAGGAACACTCAGGGATGCCACCATGACAGATGAGTCTTAACCCCAAACTTGAAATCTTCTCTGTAATTTTTTGCTAAGCATGCAGAAGTAACAACAACATTAAAGCAAAGCATGTTTAATATCCTCATACCAACTGCAACAAGAGACTAACATTCCTTTTCAAAACAGAATTGTGACAGAGTTAATTACTCTGAGGATTAATTTCAAGATACTATAATTTCTCAGGGGTTTTATTTCTCTTACTTTGCAGAAGCAAAATACAGTAACACCATGCACCTAGCTCAATTAACTGATAAAATACCATTGCTCGGTAATGAAAAGGAGTTAAATCTTTATGTTCAGCAGCACAGGAAAAATGTGAAGTATATATTCAAGCAAGCCAGAAACCCTTGCAGAAGAATTGCTGTCTGCACTTTATTTAGTCTAAAGTTATACCCATAAACTAGCTGAGTTTTGCCCTTTTCCTTTTTTAAAATGCAGAAACTAGTCTATTCTCTACAGTTAATGTCAATAGGCAACCTGGCAAGTCTTAGAAACATTTACAAGAAGACAGACCTATTTTAAGGTGATAAACAGTACACCTACAATAACTACACATTGTTATTCAAAATCATTGAAAGTTAATAAGTTTTAGATTTAAATGACTCACCGGCATCTTTAATCCATTCATCATACAGTAGCACAGCCTTGGATGCCAGATTGCTAAAAGCCATTTTGACTTGATTAAGATTTTACGATGCTGCCTGTAAGAAAAAAAAAAAGCAGAACAGAAATATGGATTTTTGTAATTAATACAATAAAGGTCAGTAAAGCGTTTTGGAAAAGATTTTCAGGAAACAGAATGGAAAAAATAGAGAGGCCTAACAGAGCACCACATGTGAAATACAGATCAGGGAGAGTTAGCTGACCACACCGATCACGGAGAGTTAGCTGACCACACCGCCCTATGCTTGGGGCTAATTTATAGCTGAGCTGTTATGCACAACAATATGATTTTGTAATCTCTACATACCAAAAAGGCGCTTCAATGCCATAAAGTGTTATCTCAAGAAACCATGTTGTGGCTAACCGTTACAGTTAAGGGGAAAATACAAATAAAGAGCAGCTGCTTAAATTAATTTTTATTACCATCTCTAATACTTAAAGTCCAAGTCACCGATACGTGAAGAAGTTCAGCTTTGCAACATTTACTATTGAAAATATTAATTTTCTAACTAAGAAGTATTTCTAAGGTGGGTGGGAAGGAAGAAAGGCGCCAATATGTCTGCATACTCCTTTTAAATACAATAATTAGCTATGTTATAATTAGCATGCAAATCACACTCTGATGAATCAACAGTTTCCACACCAGGATCATGAACTGTCATAGTACCACTGGTAGTAACATTAACTCACAAAACCTACCCAGTACATCCAGTTCGCATGCAGTACCACCTATGTATGTAAAACTTTTCAAAGAAGCATGCTTATACGGATACTGTTTTTTGCTCCAAAATCAAGTACTCATCAGCCCTTCCCTTGCCTCATTCCACCTAGAAAATACTTTTTAAAAATCCCAACACATTTGAAGGATGTCTCTCCTTTTTCCACTCAGTGGGAATTCTATTGTCATACAGTTTCCCTCCATACCCCTGTGCAATGTTCACACTCTATTTACTTTTGTTACTCCAGGCTGCAGCACACTTTGATAACAAGTTCCTTTCCTCTGGCTGCCCTTCTGCACCTCCTCCAGGCTAAGCTAGCTGCAGGTTCAGAGACCAAGTTCTGCCCTCATGATGGCAATGCATCTCTCTCCTCAGATCTCCCCACTAATATCGGCTCATTTGTCCTCACCTTAACATTCCTGAAAAATAATTTCCTTTTCTCTACAAGTGCCTCCTGGTCACTGCCATTTCACAGGAGTTTTTAGGCACCTTGAAGTACACTACACCCACCCTTCATCACAAGATGCAACACAGGTAAGCCTGCTTTCATTAGAGTTCATCTGCTGTACCTCTTACCAATTCTAATTTTGCTACCCTGCTGATTTCCTACTTGCACTTCTGTCCTGTGTGTCTGAACATCTGAAACCACCGTCAATTTCATGTTCAGAAAGTATGCCCTGCACAAGTCTCCTCAAAGTTCACATTTTCCAGAAATACCATCCTCAAGAGTCATCATTTCCCAACTCAATGTCACTGCCTTTATGATGACCATTTTCACATGCCCTGTGTTCATACTACGATGTTTGATACAAAGCTTTACATTTATAAAGGTGCCGGCAAAATCAGAAGCGGACTTCCTCTTCCTTTTCTAATGGAAACTGGAGTGGCCCTCTGCCTTTGGCACTAGTAATCACACGGAAGGTTTTATGGTTAGAGACAAATTATAACTATCCATGCCGTCTTGCTCCATAAACCAAACTATGGATGATACCAAACATAAGTAAACCCAGCCCTGTCTTGAACACCAGGTACTTGAGACTGCCCAACTATGCCAGCCAGGCAACTCATCTGTAAGCAACTGGTGCTGGGGGGGAAGTGTTAAAAATCTGTACTTTATAAATAATTGTTTTATTAAGATAGTTAGAGTGGTTACAACAAGTTATCCTTAAAATCCAGTATTCTTCCCATTTCAGTCTCATGAGAACAGTCTTTCAAGAGACAAGGTATGTCAAACAAAAGGTACCTTGTTCAGCCATTATAATGATATTCTACCAAAGCCTACAGACACCTCGTGCAAAGCATGGCTCAATATTCCAATAAATCTATTCACTGAATACAAATAATCACATTATATTTAATCAGTTCTTCAATAAGAAAAACAGTTTACTGATTTCACTGACAGTCAGTTTTCCTGCTCTAATCCTGATTAAGACATTACTCAGACTGGCTAGCTCAACATGCTGACCAAAACCTAAATTAAACAAGTAACCTACTGCTCCAAAACATGCTCTCAAAAATCCAGAAAATTCTGTGTGGATGCTGGCTCAAAATGAATTGCCATTTGTTGTGGACTTGTGGGTGTTGATTGACTTTTCCTTACCCCCCTCTCATCCTGGCAATTGCAACCTTACAAATAGACAATTCTTTACATTTACCCACTCAACTTGTTGATATCACTTTAATTTTGCATTAGGAGTCAGATAAACTCTGACTGGTGCTTAAATAGCAACTCTTATGCTTTCTAGGCATTGGGACCAAAAGCAAGATTTTTATCTGGAACCAGACTGTTTCCAATAGGTTGCTTCTGCTTGTAGTAGAAAGGCAGCAGATGAAAATAGTGAATCCTCACATTTCCCAGCCCCTGCCATACTGATGGGGAGGCATTTGTCCCACCTCTCCTGACCCCAGCACTCGCAGCTCTTCTCCTTGTAAAGCATTTCACAAGACCTGAGGCAGTAGAGGCTCTTAGCTTCAAGGTTTCTTTTCTGTCCATAACCAATCAAGAAGGATACAACTGCACAGCAGTTGCTAAATTTATTCTGAAAGGGTTTGCAGTTTACTTGCTGTCCTTGAGAAAAGGATGTACCGGCCAGGGAACAGCAACAGCCTTACCACACAGGCATACTGACTGAGTACTCTGAATCTGAAGGTAAGCAAAGTACAGTAAGTTAAAACTGATTATTTTAAGAGTAGGAGTAATGTCTGCAAGACAGTGCTGTTTAGAACTTTTCCACAGTTAAAAGATTTCTTTAACATCAACTATAATACATAACACTAGACACTCATGGTGCTTTACAATTCTACTTTTTTTTAACTAGCCACCTCCTTTGCCTTAGTAAGTCTATTTCAGTGGACAACTGTTTGCATTAATGTTGGGTTTTCAGGATTTTCTTGTCTGTTAACTGCCTGCAAGTAGGGTTAACAGCAGCATGGAAGTAGTTTTGTCCTATCCTGTTACACTTATTTTCCAGTACATACGAATTTGTGTGTGAAATAAGATGGTCAAGGCTTGCTTTTCTTTTTTTTAACAGAAGAGTAAAAAAACAGGTAAGATAAACAAATAGCTTATGCTTCAGGAAAAAAAAAAAAATTAAAGACTACTTTTTTTACACTGTGTTGTTAAGAAGTAACCTGTTAATGCTTTGACCATAATTCAATCTTCCATAATATTTGTCAGTTTTAAAGCCTACAGAACTTATCCTCTAAATGTGAGACAGGAAATATTTGGCCTGAAGGGACAGAGACTTGGGGGCAGAGAAGGCCACTTGTTAAATACACAGCTTTAGCTCTTCATGCCCTGAAGTCATCTGCACATTAAGCATATGTATAGCCACAGTCCAGTCAGGAAAATATACATTTAGTTTACATACCTGCTAATGTACTTACAGAATCAGTACATTGGCACTTTTATTTCCAATATTCCATTTTCTGCTTGTAACACAATTTAAAAATGCAACTAAAATGCACTAACAGTAGGGAATTTTTGGTTTAAACTAAGTGTCTAGATATGCAGCCATGTAAGTTCAGTCTGCCCAGCTTCAAAGTTCTGAACAATGTAGAGGCAGTCCTCCCAAGCACACTCATTATGAAAGCAAGCACTGAAATCACCTCAAAAACAGATGCAACGTGCTATTTTTTTCCCTTTTTATATAAAAATCACAATGGAAGTAATACTATACACCTTGGTTCAAGACAGCTATACTAATTTCTGAAGACATTTTTAAACAAATGTGTCTTCACTATTATAATAAAAGGGGGTGTCAGGGAGGCAAAGGAGGGAAAGACTCTGTGTTAAAAGAGTTAAGTCATTTGCCGCTGCAGCTCAGCAGACAGCTGCAAGAGACCACTACCAGCAGCTGAATTAAAGCATACAGCTTGGCAGAACCAATTTCAAGTTGGATCATTATCTTTACTGGAGAGACAAGGGTAGATAAGATCATTTATACTAGCCAAAATGCAACAGATACCACAGCAAACCATATGAGAATGCCTCACAATGACAGGCCATAGGTAACAAGTAGCTGGAAATGCACAAGTTCGGGTTAGCACACAAAACTATTAGTGATTCTTATAATGGGAATTACTGGTATGCCTCAAACATTCCTTATTTTTAAACAAGAACAAGAAATTTCTCACATTCCTTTGCTTAACCCACATGAAAGATATTTGCCATTCTTGATGCTCATTTATTCCCTCAACATAGTTTTTAAATATTAAAACATATCAAGATTTGTTTTTAAATAGTAATTTTACAAGTGTTTTATGTTGATGGCTACTGAACAAAACAAGCAAACAAAAGAACTTGAAGGAAAAACAAGCAAAATTACACAATCTAATGTAAGCTCTGTCACTCCAGAAAACAAATTCTAAAACCTCAGTGGGAACTTAACACTTAAAGTTAAGAATTTACACTACAGAACAAAGCTAATTATTAGAAATGTGGACAAGCTATATTTACAGGGACCTCTTAACAAAGTACTGGAGAATATGACAATACAGTACAAACTTCAACAGGATAATTTCCACCCAAGGCAGATCCCAAAAGCAAAGGTTCTGGAGCATCACTCCCTGGCCCAGTAAGGAGTTAATGAAAGGGGGAACCTCCACCCTGCAGAGCCTGCTGGGAGATGGGGAGAGCCTGCAGAAAATGTTGACCCACCCAGGTCTGATTTCAAAATGATAACTTAAGAAATTACAGGAATACTGGCTTGCATATTCAGGCACAATTATGAAACTTTCATGTTTCAGAATCACTTTGTGTACTGTTGTTAATTCTGCTCTTGAAGTTCATAAGGTAATTAAATCAAGATATTTCACAGATGGTATCTTGAGTTTTACCTGGGAAATACCAGCCTTGCCCTTCCCATTTCCCAAGGCTGTGTGCTTACATAATTGCAGTTATTTTAACTACATTACTGGCAAACAAATACAACCTGCCTATTACATTAGATGGATTAC